AAAAAAAAAAAAGGGCCTGCCAGGGGCATGGTGGTTAAGGGAACTGGATCCCACATGGCCAACTACATGGTCTGAGTCCCAGACCCACTTAAAAAACATGTTGGGTGGGGGCCAGCAGGTGGGGTGGTGGCTGAGGTATGGGACTCCTGGATGAACAACTGTGGGTTGAATTCCAGACCTGGTGGCTTGCTTCCTCAATTTCTCTCTCTCTCATCCGGTAGCAAATTGAAGAATAATTGTAATAATAAATAAAATTACATAAATAATTCTTTTTTTAAAAAAGAAAGAAAGAAAAACTCTGTTGGGTGCATATGTGTGCATGCCCAAAATCCTGAGAGGAGAATGGAGAAGGGATTGCAGTGTGGCCATTACCCCCTGGGTGTGATTTTTCACTTTCCTTCTTTCTCTCTCTCTCTCTCTCTGGCAAGCATATGTATCCTTATAGCCCCCCCGCCAAAAAAATCTAGAAAAAGTATGTAATCAATGAACTCCGAACAATTTAATGTTCTAACTAGAAATTAGAACAGACAGGCCGCTTTTTTCTCCAGACTTCACATGCACTTTTGACTCAAATCCCTGCCAGAATGATTGATCCAGATGCAGATGTGCATTTTCTTCCCTCCCAGTCTCCAATCAGCCCTCACTGATTCCTTGTGGTCTACCTTCCACCTTCCAAAAGCAAGAACCATTTTATTAGTTTCAGTCATCTCTATAAAATAGTAGCTGAAACGATCAAAGACTCCAGGGCAGGTGACAACAGGAGGGCACAGGGCGGCACGGTGAGGGAGCTGCAGCAGTGGACTTGATCTCCAGGAGAGCCACACCAAGTGACCCCACCCCTGGGGAAGAGGGACAAACTAACCTCATGACTGAGTCAGAGGAACACCCAGCTCTAGATACCATACCTCTCTAACAAGAGTCTTCCGGAAACAGTCGACGGTCCCAGAATACATGGGAGGCTGTCCAGGCAAACTCGGCGGCTGTGTCTGCAGTCGGACCTGAAACCAGAAGTTACACTGCAGTCATCTGAGGCCAGCCAGTGATGTGGTGGTTCAGGTGGCTTGATCCCACATAGCTGACTGCATGGTTTGAGTCCCAGACCAGTGGGTTGCACACATGCTGGTCACATGTGCCAAAAATCCCAAAAGGAGAAGAGAGGGGGGATTTCAGCATGGCTGTTCCCTAGAGGGGTGCTTCTCATCTCCCTTTACTCTCTCTCTGACAATCGCACACACCCTGTAGCAAATTAAAAATCTTCGCCCAGACTCAGAAGTGCCCTCAATGGCTTTCCTTTTATTGGAAAATAATCCCATTATATAAGTACATATTTTGTATATCTATCAGTGGGTAGACATTTTTTTTCCCACTTTTTGGCTATTATAAATAATGCAGGGGGCCAGCCAGTGGCGTGGTGGTTAGGCAGCTGGCTCCCATGTGGCTAACTTCACAGTTCAATTCGGCTGTTTGAAAACCACACCAGGCACATGTACATGTGTGCTCAAAATCTCCAAAGGAGAAATGGAGGAGAAGGTATCGTGGAGTAGCCATTTCCTGTGAGGGGTGCTTTTCTTACTTTCCCTTCCTCTCTCTCTCTGGCAAGCACACACGTCCTCCAGCTGGTCAAAATTAAAATGAAAATAAACATTTGTACATGAGTTTTTATTATTATTTAAAGTTTTTACCACAGGGCACATGCGCTTGCCAGAGACAGGGAGAGGGGAAATGAAAATCATCCCACAGGGGGTTAGTAGCAGGGAGATCCCTCCTTCTCCATCCGCCTCCTGGGATTTGGGGCATGCAAGCACACACGCCCAGCGTAAGTTCCAAGCCCCCCGGGTCTAGAACTCAAACCACAGTCACCCATGCGGGAGTCTAGTGCCTTCCTCACCATACCACCTGCTGGCCCTTTGTATATGCATTTTGTTTTGTTTTGTTTTCCTAAAAATTTTATTTATTTGATTTACCATAGGGCACATATGCTTATCACAGAGAGACAGAGAGAGAGAGACAGTAAGAAAGCAAGCTACCAGGTCTAAGACTCAAAATGTGGCCAGTGGGGGACCAGTAGTTGGCATAATGGCTATGTCGCTGGAGTCCAGTGTAGTCGACTGCGGTTTGAGTCCCAGACCCGGTGGCTTAAACTAACGACGGGTGCGTGTGCGTGCCCAAGATCCAAAGAGGAGAATGGAGGAGAAGGGATTGCAGCATGGCCATCCCCCCTGGGGCTTTTTGTCTCTCTGTCTCTCTGTGTCTTTCTGGGCAGCACACGTGCCCTATAGGGAAAAATCACTCCAAAAAAAGAAAAAAAAATTGCAGTCAGTCACGTGTGGGAGTTCAGTGCCTTAACTACCATGCCACCTGCTGGTTTCCCTCGTATATGACTTTAATGTGTTGATATATGTTTTCAATTTTGGGGGGTACTGTATTAGATTTCTCCAGGGAAAATTACATATATCTGACTTACTGTAAGAATTAAATGTAAAGTGAAATTTAAGTTGCAGGATTGATTATGGAGATTTATTTTTGTTTTGTTTTGTTTTGTTTTAAAAGTATTTTATCTTGGGTAGAGGTGTGTGATTTAATTATTTCTTAGGATAAGGATAATCTCGGTCACTTTCTGTTGCTACTTGAGTCTTTCATTTGGAAGAGTCAGAATTCACGTTCAGAATTTATTAACCTGGACTAGGCTCTGAGAATACAAACTGAATTTTAAGATGCCCTTAGTGTCCTTTCTTTAAAATTTATTTCTTCCATAAGTGACAGACAGACAGGGAGACATGTACAGAAACAGAATGCCAAACAGGGTCTTGATGCCATGATCCCTCCCAGATTCAGCCAGTCCCTGTCGTGGGCCCCCGTGTGCCTGGCATACTTACAGAGGTCTAGGCATAAACCTGGAACCTTCCCATGTGAGTCAGCCTTGCAGAGTGTTGTGTTTTACTGCTCTGCCGCTGTCTGTCTGGCTCCCAGTTACTGTCCTTTTAAGGAATTCAGAGCCTCGTAGGGGGGACAGATATGAAAATAAGAATCTTGAAGTGATAAGATTTGTGATAAGTCTGTGCAAAGTTCCTGAGAATCTACACGAAGGACTTATATGGAAAATTAGGGAAGGGTAAAAAAATAGCTAATATGTATAAAACTTATGCATTAAAAAAAAGTTTACCTCTTAAGTATGGAAATGGAGGTAATTTTCTTATCTGTATTTTCTAATTTAAAAAAATTATTCGTTTAATTTTATTTATTCATTCATTTTATTTTTTAAAATTTGACCAGAGAGAGACGGACAGACAGAGAGAGAGAGAGAGAGAGAGAACGGGAAAGTGAGAAAGGAAGCCGCCAGGTCCGAGACTTGAACCACAGTCGGCCATGTGGGAGTCCAGCGCTCTTATCCACCACACCGACTGCTGGCCCGATTATGGAGATTTAAAAGCCACAAAGCCTGTCGTCAGCAACTCAAAACCAATGAAGAGCCCATATTTCAGATGAAGTCTGAAGGGAGGAAAAGACTGATGTCCCAGATCAAGCAGTCAGGCAGGAGGGGTGCCCTTTTGTAGGAGAGTCAGACTTCTGGTCGACTGAAGCCTTTAAGATCGATTGATATCGCGGGCAATCTGGTTTACTCAATCTACCCGTCCAAATGCTAATATCCAGGATCAGCCTCTATAGCACACTGCCAAGAGAAGAATGAGGCTGAGGTCACGCAGGGAGGCCTGAGTTCAGTTCATGGCTCCACTTAAACAGGTCGGCTACGTGACATTCATCTGTAACCCTAGCTAACTTGTCATCTACACTAAGGCAGAGGATCACAATGGGAGCAGTCTGTCAAAAATACTTCCCTTTGGGAACCAGCAATTGGTGTAAATGGCTATATCACTGGACTCCCATGTAGTCGACCGCGGTTCGAGTCCTGGACCCAGAGGCTTTAACTCACGCCAAGCACATATGCGTGCATGCCCAAGATCCTGAGAGGAAAATGAAGGAGAAGGGATTGCAGTGTGGCCATCACCCCCCACCCCTGGGGGGTGTGATTTCTTGCTTTCCGTCTCTGTCCCTCTGGTGAGCACACGCACTTTATAGTAAAAACCTCTCCAAAAAAATACCTTTGTATCTTTAGAAAAAAAAAAAAAAGAAGAAAAAAAATGGTATAGGTCAGTAGGTGGCATGGAGGTTAAGGTGCTGCATGCCACATGTTTGGCTAAGGTTTGAGTTCCAGAGACATCAGCCTGAAAATCACCCCAGGTGAGGGAACCAGCAGTTAGTGTAATGGCTATGTTGCTGGATTCCCACGTAGTTGACTGCGGTTCACGTCCCGGACTCGGTGGCTTGAAACTCACAGCGGGCGCGTGCGCATGCATGCCCAAGAGGAGAATGGAGGAGAAGGGATTGCGGCGTGACCATCCCCCCTGGGGGGGTGATTTCTCGCTTTCTCTCTGTCTCTCTCTGTCTGGCAAGCGCACGCGCCCTACAGCGAAAAAAACCTCTCCAAAAAAAAAAAAAAAAAACACACATCACCCCAGGTGAGTGTGTGTGTGTGCCCAAAGTCCCAGGAGGAGAATGGAGAAGGGATTTGCAGGGTGGTCATCCCCTGAGGGTGACTTGTCACTTTTCTTCTCACTGTCTCTTTCTCTACAGTAAGGGCATGCACCCTATGGCATAAACCTTGAAAAAAGAAAACTAGGAGAAGGTTCGAATGCTAAGCCACAGGGCATGGACTTTGGTCTCCAGCTAGACTAGGTGGAAAGCGCTTCAAGGGGAAGAGTTGAAGTGTGCGGTGAGGACGACCCGGAAACAGGCCCTGACGGTATTCCTCCCTCAGAGAGCCTCCTGGCCACGGCTTCCTCACCTGGGGCTGGTAAGGGCCAGCCTGGCACTAGCCAAACTGGTCACCTGCTTTCCTTGGAAAGGGCTTAGTCACTGGGGACACCACCTCTTCCAACAGGGAAGCCTCTGCCCAGGAGGCTACCACGGGGTGACAGGCAGAAGATGCCATGTCCCTCCCTGGGCTGGGAAAGGTGAAAAGACAGGACCGGGCACTCTGGCCCCAGGGAAGTGTCCAAAGACATCTCTTGTCTTCCAGGGGCGTGTTTTACAGGACACGTTTCAATCTTGTTGCTAATGTTCGGGCTGGCTGAAATCAGAGGTCTGGGGAGACGCCTTTTATTTCCCATATTCCCAAGAAGTGGTTCAGGGTCGGCAGAGACCGCGGGACGGAGAACTTTTAGCCGGAGCTCTAGCTGTGCGGTTAGAGGCTCTGCGCCCACCAGCGCCCAGGGCGCGAGGTATTTCCCTCTCCCCGTGAGAGGCTCTAGGCTTCCCATGGAAGCTCACGCGGGCCCCACTTCTGTCCGGGGACCTTGGTCTCCGCGTGACGCCCGGGCCTCCTCCCCGCACCCGGCAGCCCACAGCCCACTGCCCATAGCCCGCTCCCGCACCTTGACCGTGTCCAAAGGGTGCCCCACGAACACCAGGCACACGCCGCCAAAGCCGCCGGCCAGCAGGTTCTTGAGTGGGCTGATGGGCTTCGGCTGGGCTGCCATGGGCGGTCAGTCGGCACGTCAGGC